AAAAAAAGTGTGGCCTTTTTAATAATTAAGTAGTACAAAAGTATAGAGCTGTGACAAAGGGCATTGTATCTTGCTTTGGAAGTGGAAGCAAGCATGTGTCAATAAGCATGTTGCTTAATGTGCAAAGCATACTCCTTAAATGTACATGTTTCTCACAAAATTTTACAAGTCATTTATCCTTAGCTTCATATTGTGAGACTTTATTTCTGTTTATTTTATGTGTTAGCTCTCTAGAGTTCTGATTCTAGCAAGAATCTTGAAACTTGGTGGTTAGCTCTGGCTGTTTTTTACTGCAGTACAGGCACACTGACTTACCATAGCTTCAAAGAAGGCTTCCCTAGATGATTCAGGCCCGTTCCATAAGTATTCTTTTCATGCAAGTGAAAACACATATGGCTGTTTCTGGATCTTTTCAGATATATCTTCTTGATTTATCATAAACTTTCCCTTACCTGATGAGCACACATAATGGACATATCTCATTACGAATATCCTTCCAGAACTACTCAAAAAGAAGATTTTTACATAATGTGGTATGAAAAAAAAAAACAGACTAAATTTTTATATACACCCAATTCAGTAAGTTACTTTGAAGACGTGCATTTTTAGGTCACACTTTAAAGGTTGTGGAGGAGGTGGACAAAAGCTAGGTAAAAGGCACTGCTACTATCCAGAAAGGTTGAAAAAAAGGGTACAAGCAGTTTAGCTTTCAGTGAGGCATTTGTGACACAGGTGACACAGGTGATCATAACAGCAATAGAAGAAGTACCACGTTAGACACACCTCCTTCTTCACACCATTTAAGCCTTTTAATCGCTTTAAATTTCTCTCAAAAGCAAATCAGCAGTATTACCTACTGCACTTTTGGTTTGCACTGATTTCCCTTAGGTTCCATTGGGTTCTGGGTGCACTTGAGTTATAAAACAAAAAGTCACTGATTGGTTGTTGAAAAGGAAACAGAAAAATCTTTGATTTCCCAGTGTTTTGTCTGTAGGTCTAGTGGTTTTCATTTATTGCTTTGATTCAGTGTTTATTTGGCAGAGGACTGATCAGTCGATAAACTCTTAGTTAGCAAGTCTGCTTGTAAAAGTACCAATACCTGGAAGCAGACTATTATACACATATTTTCTCTCAAGTTTTCTGGAGAATGTGCTGGTTCTGCCCTCTGTTGTGGGAACAATAAATGTTTCTTTTTGTTCTAGGTTGTCTAGAGTACATTTATTTAACAAACTATTTTTGTTACTTAGTTTCTCAGCAAAAACCTTATCAATATATTCATTAGGAGGACCAGACCTTGGAATTTAACTCCTTTCTATTCAGATAACTAGCAATTGTACAAATAACACTCCCAAGAGGCACAAATTTCTCGCAGCTAGAGAAAGAGAAACTTAGACCCAAAAGCAAACTAGAAAGAAGAGATAAGGATTTCTGCAAAGCACGTATCTAAAATAGATGACCCTGTGTTTTCCTTGATCCTGATTCTTTAGCCTTTCAAGGGCTGAAACTATTCACTCACCTCCCCACCAGCTAAGCACTTTCAACTCGAATAAATTCACTCTAGACTTATCTTTCAATGCTCAATGCCATCTTCCCTCCCTCCCCTTAAAAATGAGAACACTGGTGAATAATTTACAGTGTCTAGAGTGTTACTTTAAATACATTAAATTTAATATAAATTTAAACTGGAAATTGAAGGAGATTTAAAATACAAAAGCCAATGTTATTTTGACTGTTCATTGCTGTTAATTAAAAGGAGATGGTCAACATGCACATTTGAAACAAGCTGTATGAAATACTAGAATCAGTCTCGTACAAAGGCAATGTGACACCCTGCAGGCCAAGTCCCATCTTTTGGATATTAACAGGCAACTCTAAAAAATAGGTAAGACATCCAATTTACCAAGACATTATCTTATCCCTTGTACATACAAATACTATTTTAAACAGAACATGTTAGACAAGTAACAGTCCACATAAATGACTCATGTACCAAACACAAAATAAACAGAGAAAAAGTATTTATTCTATGAATGAAACAACAGGGCCCTGGATATATGTAAACAGTTCAAACTAAAGCTGAAATGTGAACACTTTGTCCAAAGTCACTGGAATGTAAATAAAAGTTACAAAGAATCCTGCTGTTCACTGCACATTTGTCTAACATTTCTAATCTCATGCAAAATCTAAAATATTCAGAAAAATTTAAATGAAACTACATTTCCAACAAGCCTAACATCCAGTTTCCAGCGTGATTAAGCTAATATGTAACCTACATGCTGTGTCTATAGATCAATGAGTCCTTTTATATGAATTGATATGTAAGTGTATTACGCAGAGCCTCTACCTCTCTCTACTACCTGTATATGTATATACACAGGGAGTCCAAAGATTAATCCGCCAAAATATATGTTTTAGTGAAAATCTTTTGATATGGAATATTTTGTTTCATACTACATTGAAATTAAATACATGTTTATTCTGGCTTAGAGTGTTCCTGTATTTTTTTTTTTGTTTAAAAACTGAAAAGTCACTTTCAAAGCAAACATTTTAAATTCAGAATTCATTCAGAAGTAATGAGAAAATAATATTTCAATATTTTAATGACTTGTTAGTTCCAAGTTAATTAAGAGGAAAGGAAGAGATATGTTTATTTGCTCATAAACTTTAGCATATACAAAAATAAATTGCACAGCTTTAGGTGAAAAATTCAGACCGAGCAAAAATGGTTTTGGTGACATTTAGGTGATAATAGGTCTGAACTAGCTCTTTCAAGATATATTTTTCTACTACAAATGTGAGATCCAACTAAATATATTTTGTTTCTGTAATTTAAGCAGCCACATTCATAATACGAACACATGTAAATGGACAATATGGGCCTAGAATTATGGCCGCATATTTACAGTGTGAGAGTATCTGTAGTAAAATCAATTGATGTGGATTCACATTACTGTATCTGAGAGCAAATTAGACTCATTCACTGCTACAGGCCTGCTCACTGGATATTTGATTGACCTGTTAGAAATGGCTTTAAAACATTATGGTTCTTAATGACATTTTCTTCATAGCTACTTCAATTTACTTTGAATGGGTGGACATTTTTAAATGATATTTTAACTTTACCTGTTATGGGATAAACCCTACCCCACCAACAAACCAGTATCTCTGGTATTTGTTGGAGCTGACAGAACAAGGTTCAGTACAGCACATTCACAACAAAATTTGATGTGTTTTATTCTGTTAAGGATTATCACGCTATCAGCATGATAGCAACAGGACTTTATTGAGTTCATTTTTTATGAGATCTATGAGTTCATTGTTTATACCAAGAATTTTGATTTTACCATTTAAAGCATCCATGGTTCATACATGTATTTCTGCTTAGTGAGGAAAGTGTTAAAGTTCATCACTTGTATAATATTTTTAAAGCTGTACAGTACTGTACATCTTAACAATCTCAGAATTTTAAGGAGCTGTCTCAAAGTAAGCAGTAATTCAAACCAGAATTCATCCCTGCTTTTATTAGAAAATTACATCTGTGAAACATCTGATTCAATGCTTATCTTTGAGTAGTTGCTTATGACAGAGGTCGTTGTATGTTTTCTAATGTTTTAAAACCTCAGTCAATACAGAGTTCATAGTTAAATGAACAGATCACAAGGAAGAAAGATTAAGGCACAGACTTCTTAACCCATATACTCAAGGGGAGAAAAAAGTAGCCACCATTTATCACTGCTTGAAGCAGGACAGATTTCTCAGACACAGAAAATGCGGAAGGCAACCACAGTTTAGCAGTTTCCTGGTGCCTTTCATCTAAACACCACATAATACTAAATAAACATTAATGAATTAAGCTGCTTAACATATCTACAAAGTAAGTACAGTAAAGAAGAAATGTACTTACTTTTTTGGCAGATGTCCTAGTACCCTAAAACTACCGATCATAAAATGATCCAGAGCAATAGTTGCAAGCCATCAAGAAAAAAATACATATAGTTTCATAATTTACAGAGTGCTTTGTGAGAAGTTGGGGGGAAAAACACTCTCAAGATATTGCTGGTCGAGTAGTTTTAAAATGATGTAGTTTCTTGATGAAAAGAAAAAGGCATATTTTAAGAGGAATGTTCATGAAAAAAAATAAATCTATTTTAAAATCAGTTCTATTCTTTATGTTGTTATCAATTGGTAAAATCTCCTTTTGTCAACTCCAAGAGCTCCTGAAGGTCCCATTTCACAGTTTAGAAATATAAAACTAGTTAGAAAACCAGAAAAATGAAAATTCAAGTTACAATTAATTTATCAGTTCTGATTATTTAGTGTATGTATGCACAACTTTTCACAAAAATAGTAGTTTGAATATTAAAAACGTGTCTGAACATGCTCACTTCCAGGTCTTGTAAGGCTTGGAAAGGAGGGAAGATTATCAGTGCGTAATGATTTTCATTCTTACATAGATACCTTCCCACTGATAATGTGTGTTTGATTTCATAAAGATTTTGCTAGAATTCTATTTATTTAGGAAATTTCAGTAAATGTAAATGGGACAGTTGTCTGCAAGTGTGTATCCTCTAATGGAGCACATCTTTCTTCAGTGTAAGAATGTCCTCTAACCTCATTCCAAGCCAGTATTTGAAAATTTTCTGAGAAATTTTCTCATTTAATCACAGTATGTATTTTCATATTTCTACTAAAAAATAACAAGTTAAGAACTGGACTCAGACTGTAACATCCCTTTAATTTCAATATATATATTTGAAGCTCAAAAGACTATTTTTCTTCTAATGTAGCAAAGGCATTTCTTAAAACATTTCTTAAAAAAAATGCAAAATGTTCTAATTGTAGAAAAATATCAGCAATAAAACATTATTAGTAGCATTTAATATCAAAGCACCAAATTCTTGGCTTCATTACCTTGATTCAATGATATTAAACAAGACAACAACATTTTGTTAGATTGCAGCAATAAAGTCTGTTGACATGTCTTGTCAGGAAAATAAAATTTAAAATTACCATTGCAAACCGCTGAAACAAGTTTGCTCATTCTGTTTCTCCTACAAATCACATGTTCATGGTTTTAAAATAAATAAGTCATAAATAACAATAGGACTAAATCGAAATAAAATTGTGTATGTATTATTATATACCTATCATCTTGATTATTTTTCAAAGGCTTTTGGCTCACGTTTATACAAAGCTCTCTTCCATATTTGTGCATAGCAGAAAGGAATCCACAAGTCTAGGCTTTACTAGCTGCTGAAAATCTGAATCTTCAAGTCCATCAGGACTCATAACTGCTAGTCTCCGTAAGGCTGCCTAGAAAAAGAAAACAACACAATTGTAATACTGTTACACAACTGTAATACTGTTAAGGCTTGACAAAGTTTTCATTGCAGGAATCCATTATAACTATCTCTAAATACCAGCCAAGACTCAGCGCTGAACTGTGCAGGTCTATGGACTGTTCTACCTGGCTAATCTCTTGTTACTGTCTTCATCTGAGACCCCACCTGGAGTCCTGCATCCAGCTCTGGAGCCCTCAGCACAGGGAAGACACGGACTTGTTGGAGTGGGGCCAGAGGAGGGCCGCAAAGATGATTCGAGGCCTGAAACACCTCTGCTATGAGGAAAGGCTGAGAGAGTTGGGGCTGTTCAGCCTGGAGAAGGGAAGGCTCTGGGGAGACCTTATTGCAGCCTTCTAGTACCCGAAGGGGCCTACAAGAAAGCTGGAGAGGGACAACAAAGGCCTGTAGTGATAGAACAAGGGGTGATGGCTTTAAACTGAAAGAGGGTAGATTTAGTTTGGATATAAGAAAGAAATCCTTTACTGTGAGGGTGGTCAGGCACTGGAACAGGCTGCCCAGAGCAGCTCTGGCTGCTCCCTCCCTGGCAGTGTTCAAGGCCAGGTTGGATGGGGCTTCCAGCAACCTGATCAAGTGGAAGACATCCCTGCCCATGGCAGGGGGATTGGAACTGGATGTTCTTTAAGGTCCTTTCTAACCTAAACCATTCTATGTTTCTATGATTCTATGATTCAATGATCTGTCAGATGAATCTCCCCTCAAATGCAGCTATTTCTGGGCACATTACTCTTCGACCTGAGCAGCAAAGACAGTGTGATGTTAAAGAACACAGAGGTGAGAGTCAGAGCACTTTGTCAGTAAACCTATTACTGATCTGCTGCACGTCACACTATCTCTTTGTATCTCAACTGTTCTCTCATCTTTTATCTTATTTATGAGAACTGTAAGCCATCTGATTCAGAAAATGTCTGCTACTGAAGTTTTATGCAACGTCCATAACAGAAATCTTTTAGATACAGTGTAGCAGAAAGAAGCCATACATTTAAAACCATTTGAGAGCCAATAAAACTGCCAATTGTTTTGATTATGAGGCTGCACAATACCAATTACATTGATGTTACTATTATCTTCATAAACTCTTCCCTTCTACCTGTTTTTCTTACTGGATTAAAATATACAACTACATACCTTCTAGCAACCTGACAAGACAGATACAGTTGGAAAGCACGCTGGCTTTCCTCAAGAGCAAAAATTGTCTTCTATTAATAAGGTCTGATAGTTGTGATCAGCTTATCTCTGTGCTGTTTGTCAGTGCAGCACTAACACAAATGTTTATCACCTGCTTCAAAATATAGAAAAAGTAAACAAACAAGGTAAAAATACCAAACAGTACAAGCCCTCAGACTTTAGTGGCAACACCTATCAGAGTCTGAAGCAGCTTATGTTCCAAGGGCAATTTTTTTGCCACATGGTTATCAGAAAGTGTCATCAAGCAGCTACTAAAATCTCAGGAGAAGCAGAATTGCTGAGACAGGCAGGTAATATCTCAGATGATAGGCATGAATTCAAGGAATGTGCAGCAACAACTTCAGTGAGACAGAAAACTCACAGTCTGGTTTGATGCCATCACTCTGTGGCCTCTGCTCTAGCCATACAAGATTAAGAAACCTTCTTGGCATGTACAAAGAATAATCACAGCATTTCTTATGCTCACATTCATACTTTTTTCATCCTGAATGGGTCCTGCTTAAACCAACAAAATTTCTCATATGCTGATACAAAGCTAGCTGTTAATCAAAGCTGCAATAATCGTTGACTTTTACATTTAAACAACATTAATACTAAAAAGCATTGTCAAACAATATTCTTCATTCTTCATCCATCAAAACCTGTCTCTTAAGCCTAGATCACCCAAGTTTCCAGAGTGCTTTCTGCTCACAGAATGCTATGTGAAATTACTCAACTCCGACAGCTGGCTGGGGTTCACAGTCCATGCAGTGCAGGGCCAGCAGCTGGGATCTTTCTCCTAAGCAGAGAAAGTGTTAACCTTCTGTTGGCCGCTCCTTGGCTGGACACTATACTGTCTTGGAGACTCAGATAGTTCTAAGTGGATCATAGTGAAAACACAAAATCTCCTTGCCTCTCTTTGGCCACTTTACATAAATATTTCCATACAAGTGTGTGTCTGCAGATAAAGGACTGTTACCCCTGTGATTCAAGGCTCATTTCAGCACACATAACATCATCAGAGAATGGAATTTAAGAATTACAGAAACCTTAAATACTGAAGTGGTCCAGTGAATTTTTTTTAGTACTCAGTAGTGTGAAGATGCAGCCATTTTTCTTTATGTGCTTAAATCTTCAATCAGAGGATAAATAATTGACATGGTACAGGATTATGCTTAAGGGGAAAATCAGGAGACCCTGGCATGAATTTAAAACATTCCTGGAATACTTCTGCATTTTGAAATCTAAAAGGCTGTTTTTTCTGCATTTTTCAGGATAAGCATGAAAGAAAGATTAAAATGTACCTACCAGACATGCCACTAAAACAGAATCACTGTTATTTCTTTCAGTTGGTGATCTGCAAAGTTTAATTAGGCGAGGAATACCTGAGTGCACAAAAAAGTATCAGGAGAAATAATTTAGAAAAACTAACTCCTTATTTTGAGAGAAGATCTTTTTTTTAGATATTTCATATTTATTTTCCTTAGTGGATATCATCTCTAATGCAAAGAAGATATGCAAATGCTTAAGAGGCTGTCCATGGAGCTATGCAGCTCAGAGCAGTCACAATTGATAACTGCAAAGCATAAACAGACAAATGTATTGTTTTTACCTGCTATTGCTGTTTCAGAGTGCAAAGTGTGACCTCTATTTCTTCCCTACCAATCCTCCCACATGCCCTTAAAAGACTCCAGCCAAATGAACATGTTGCTTCCTGTTAGATTCATCACATCTGAACCTGCAGGGGTCCAAGTATTCTGTCCACTGACAGATCCTGCACAAGGGTTTAAATAAAGGAATGGTGAAGGCAACACTGTCAGTTGTCACAGTCTGCCACAGCTATGTGTTGGTTGGATGCTGCACCTCAAGTTCCTCTGGGAAAGAAGTTAGACGTTCATTTAGCGCAGCCTCCTCAATCACTCTCTGAACAGACAGTATAGGGAACCTGTTCCATAAAGTGTACCAAGTGGGGCTAAAAATTAAAAAGACCTTCTCCATGACTGGCAGTTACTCCCTTTTTTTCAGTCTGCCGTTAAGCAAGTGATACATCCTTACAGCTGAGTTTTACGGCTGCATCTGCCACTTCAGGATCTCGGCTGAGTCGTGCCAGTGTAACTGCAGATTTCTGTTGGACTCGCTCACAAGCAGCAACTTCTGCTGAATTTCCTGAAGATGATCTTTCAAAGAGCATTTCCATTAAAAGTTGAACACCTAGAAGGATGTAAGAGCCATTGTTATCCTCTCTCCAGCAAAAAACTCAGGCCAAAAAGGCAAAGGGAAAAAGCAGGCTAGGTAAACACAGATCAATCACTACCCAAACAGGGCAGGAAGAATACATGAATGTGGACAGCAATTTGGCCATCAGCATTCAGGCACATCTGATCTGTGCATAAGTTTGCCTTTGCTAGGAAGCTACAGAACTTCTGCAACTAGAAAATATACTAACTCTTCCCTCGTCCACATTCTTGATTCCTCTACAAGTTGATACTTTGGATTTCACAAATTTGTTTCAGTCAAACTAAATGCAATTCTTTATTTGTTTCTAAACTAACCTGAAGGTAATCACTAACCTTAAAACCTGTAGTGACATATTTCAGGTCGCCATATGAAGTTTTTCTTTGCATCAAAGTAAAACTTTTTTTTCAGTTTATGTATTTTTAAGAAAGCTTTTAAATGTTCCTGTCTCAAACTGTTTAAGGGCATTTTAGAATGGGAAATCCTTTAATGAGGGAAATGATGAAATTCTGCCACTTGAAGTTTACTGTGTGACTATTTGCTTCTAAAGAGAGAATGTCATCAATGTCCAATGGTTTCATTAACTTCTTGTTGTCTGTAGGAGTTGATATTCTTGTTGTAGCAGCACAAAAGCAGATGAGATGTACTGATGTCTATTATCTAGATTATTTTAAATGTGAGGACAATTATGTGCTATTAGACTCCATATCCTATTAGGCATTCAGATTACTTCAGGCAGCATCAGAGGTTTTAACTGTTAGAATATTTGCATAAATAATTAAGAGAATTAGCATCAGAATCATGCAGATAGATAGTAGTCAATCGACGTATAAAAAAGTCAAAGTTGAGAAGAAAACATATCTAAACTCTCCAGGATTCAAAGACCCTTGTCAGTTTGTGAATCTGACTTCTGACCAGCATCTGATTATTAAAAAAGCAGGCAGACACAAAAAAACTTTATACACAAGATGAGTGTCAACCCTTCTCAAAAGCCTGGGAGCAAGAGCTGCTGTGTGAACTTCCTTTATGGAGTGTATACACAAACTTTACTTCATCACATTGTGCTTGACAGTCCACATGTGCTCCTCCACCTACTGTAATATCTAGTACGAGTTAGGCCTAGTTGGCATAGCTGTTAGTATAATTTCATGAAATTCAATCAAGTTTCTGCTCTAGTAGAAGTAGATGACATAAGATCAAACACCTGTCCCAAACAACAAAACAGATTTTGGTGTGCTCGAGGTAATAGATGGCCAAACTACATGCCCAATCTGTTAATAATAAAGGAGTACAAAAGCTTCCAGGGCATATCTGGATCGTGAGTCCTAACAGCAAATCAGAAAACAACAGCACAAGTCAAACAGACAAATCTCCGACAAGCTGTTCTCTACCCAATCCTATAATTACAGACCTCTAGGGTTCTGGGAAATGTCAGTGTCATGCCAAGAGTTTCTAGAAAAACCTCTGTGTAGGGAAGCCCCATGTGTCTGCACCAAGAGGTCCAGGACCACTTCTCCAACCTCCAGAAACAAAAGGGGCTTGGATTAGGAGTGTGGCAGGAACCACCACGGGGACCTGACCAACCTCTTTCTGCGACTGGCTGATCCCTCGCATGCAGCAAGGGGGTTGTACAAGAAACCACCATGCTAACCTACCCTGCTCCTCCCCTTCACCGCACTGCCTTCTGCACAGGACTGGGAAGTCAGGTAATTTGTAAAATTGCATCTCTCTGTGATTAAATTGCTTCAGTATCTAGATCCATTCAACCTCCACATTGTCATTGGTCTCAAACTGCAACACCTATCCACCTTTGCAAGGATATCAAATACATACTACCTCTGTGCACACATGGATCACATAAAACAAATCAGTTCTGCCAGTCATACTTTTGTGCACAGAGCTCAAATTTTCCACTGAAATGCAAGAAACATCTAAATCCAATATTACATAGGAATTGGCTGATTCTATTTCAAGACCTGCTTCTATGTAGATGCTTTCTGAAACCCTTTCTCCCAACTACAGTCAGCCATTATCTGAGATGCAAATGGATGCGAACTCAAATCATTCCTGTTCAAAACTTAGTTAAAAAAGTGTGGAAGGGGTATTCCTAGGACATAAAAAGAAATATATGTGAAGCCTCACTGTAATTTAATATCTCTCTCTGCTCCAAAACAAAAAAACCCACTGTCTTACTATATTGCTTGGCAATAAATTTGCTGGTAGGTGTATTAGTAAGGCAGTTACGTCTTCCTCTATCTTTATGCAGAGAATTATTAACCTAACTTCTCAGACTTCTCGTGGGCCTATAACACCTAGGGTTTTTTCAAGATAAAGAATTTCTCATAATGTGATATTTAAAGAAGTGTGGGAAAAAACTGGCAGCTGCTGTATAGTAGTAAAAACTTAATGCTTCAAAATTTATAATACTTCTGTATACATGTGAAAAAAGTGACACAAAATGCAGGTATGCGTGGCTCGGTATCAAATGATGTCCTTCAATGTCTAAGAATTGCCACCTTATACAATGTAATTACCAGAATAAACAGTGTTGAAACAGTTTGTACTACTTTGCTTTGTATCTACGAAGAAGTTACAAACACATAGATAGAACATCAGCTATATGGTCATATATGCAAAGTTTTCTAAAGCAGTGGTAATTTCTTTCAGTTACATAGAACCATCCCAAGGACTCATTGCACCCTGTATATGCAATATCCAGCAGAGACAGAATGCAAAATGAAGTATCATTAGTGAAGCCTTTCTCCTTTACCTTGTAACCACTCCTTTCCCATCCACCCACATTCTCCACAAACAAATACAGAATATAATTCAGCTAAAATACATACCATTTCCTTGAATGATTTCTGAAGCACACTGGTCCAAGACAGACATGTTTGCCAATATTGTTACCACCTGTTATTAAAAAGAGGAGGAAATATGAAGTGTAGCCCTACAATTCAGTAATATTAAATAGCGCTGTGGTTTACAAAATCGGTATGGCAGAAATATGGCAAACCCAATAAAATTAAAAAGCATTCTTGTCTATTCCCACCTTTTTGATTTCTCAGGGGTCTTTATACTATATATGGCTTCTAACCAAAATTCAGACAACAAGAAAAGTAAAACCTGTTTTTCTCACCCTCCTATACTCATGCATAAAAGTCTGTCATATCTGCTATGCAGTGGATTTGTTCAGTGGTCAAACTGGTAGAAAGAGGAAGACAAAAATTTATAAAAAACAACCAACCGAAAAAACCCTGGACTCCTGCAAAGAGCTCAACAAGGAGCCGCCCGCCATCATGACCCAATCCTGTAGTCACGTTCCAGCTCAGCAGAGCTCACAGTGAAGACTAAGAACCAGCACATAGCGTACATTCAGTAGTGCTAAGTTATTGCTACCTTTCAGCTTCAGAGTTCAGCTGAAATGTTGATAAATCCTCACAACAGATTTTGAGTTTTGGGCCTTGATTCAAGGGAGTATTTAAGGAATACTTTTCAGTTTTACTGAAGCCAGAAGTTGTGTGCATGTCAAAGCACTGTCCCAAAATAAGCTGGATTCAAAAATCCATTTATACCTTTCCTGAGCTAAGGCCAAGATTAGGTTTTGTACCAAGCGAAGCAAATTTTGAGATCCTGATGTACAGAATTTCTCATCTGAAATAGCATTAACTGTTTTCAAGATCAGGTGTAACTCAGCTTGCTTAAAGTAAAACAACAAGCCATTGACAGAGACTGGATTATGTGGAGTTGTTGGCTGTCAATCACCCATTCCCTTCATTGATATCATATACTTTCTCTCATACATCCTGCAAGATACTCTTTTTTACTTTATCCTTCAAATAACTTACTTTCTGCATGCAAACATGTCTCAATATTAACAACATATGTGAGAGACCAAGTAATAAATGTTATAGGTCAGTAGAATACAAAATAAAAATAATATTCTTTCTTAAGAGGTTTTAATTTTCTCTATTATAGTTCAGAAAAACAGATCAGCCTCAAGAATAACGGTCAATTTGAGAACTGGTTATCAGCTTTTTAGTGGTATAGTGTCAATTCACAAACAAGCAAACTTCTTAGGTGTAAGTAGGCATGAGATTAAATCATGATTCTGATCTCACTTTGCCATTTTAATAACAAGGATGACTCATTTTCGATGCTATGACATAAAGTTCTTCCACTTTTGAAGGCAGCGTTACAGTGTTATCTCTCTGAATAAATATACTTACTTAGGATGCAAATGAGTTACTGAAACTCTGAAGAGTGACAGGTAGAAATATGGTAACTCAGTATATGTCTATGTATTTATTCCATATTAATTATTATCTGTGTTTCAGGTAGAGTGTATATGTTTTCTCATTCTAAATTATATCCTGTTAAAGAAAATTGCTTCCTCTATGCAGAATCTGTACCCCATGTGGGTCTCTAAGCAACAGATGAAGAATTCAATTAACCACAATTTGAATACGTGCCAATTATTCCACTGCTTCAAGTTATTTTGTCTAATAAGTATTTTCATACATAAAAATATTTTGTATGCATCTTTTTACACCAAAAATTATTTGAGGCTATATCTGTACTTCCTTTGCGTTGATTATGTGGCCCCTATATTTTGCAATGTATTTATGAACTAGCCTAACGGGTTTATATGTAACCTTCTCCACAGGGGTTTGTAAAAGATCCTTATCATCAATAACTGTCAAGTTCTACCTATATTAACTTTTAAAATCTTAGTAGACTTGAAAGGCAGTTAAACTATAGATTAGCTCACTCCATATGAATAGACTTTTCCTTTCCCCAAAAGGTCCCATTTTCTTGGAATGTAAACGATGTAACATGAAACAGCTTGATGTAAACACATAGTAGGCAAGCTGAATAAAGAGTTGACGTTAAACGCTGTATTTCTCCTATACTTTCCTATTTTACAATTCAGTATACCTGCAGCTTACATGACAACTTTCTCTGTACTACAGATCAAAGTTCAAGGAAGTTTGTACTAAAGATGAACTTTCTAGAGGAAAGCACAAACTTAAATATAGACTCAATTTGCTTTGAAAAGCAACACTTCCATGAGCACTGATATTATTGAAGTCTCATTTCTTTTGGATTTAGAGTTGATCCAAAACCATAAAAAGGACTTTTCCAGTGGCATCTCTCCCACTGTAGTTTTTTTTTTTGTCTAATGATACATAGGCTTACACTGCAGTCTTTATCTCAGCCTCTCTTTCTCATTATCTGGCTCCAAATTTCATAAACCATTAGGCAGTCTCTCAAAAATAACTATGAAGTCCTGTTGAATCAGCAAACCAGTTCAGAAATTATAGTGAGACATGGAGCACACAAACAGATATAGATAAAAGTGACTACCTAAGCTTCATTTCCACCAGGAAAATAGATTAAAATCACTGGAAAAAATAGATACAAAAACCTCTTTCAGAAATGAAATAATTTTGAAAGACTTGAAAACATTTAACATGAAATCTCTACTGTTCAACTGTATTATTTAGTATCAATTTCATTAATTGTTGAAGACATTTCTTGTAAAAGAGTAAGCTCCAGGACTATAAAGGACTGGCACCTGAAGCAATTTATGGTTCTTGCAATTTTTCTGGATTCCTAAGCCATGCAATGAAGTTGTAGTCTGCCTAAAGTATAAAAAGGAAAATATCCTGAAGACAGGACACATGAGCTCTGATCGTCTGCCAGTGCTATGATACCATGCAGAAAGTCTGCGCTGAAGCCACCCACAAATTCCTGTACTCTGATGATATCTTGATATATGGGATCTGCAGATGTGCTATTAAGCAAAGACTGTCAGAGATTTTTCCAGAGGAGAAAAAAAAGTTGCTTCATCATATGTGGAAATTTTAATGAAACATATGATCTCACATTCTATTGCCAAATCTAACACAAGATTATAGTGGACTGCCTTAGAAACCATGTGCTGCAAGAACTGATCCCATCCAGCAAAATTCCCTGCCTCAGTGCCCCTATGTCTGCTAGGTAGATCTGTTCTGGAGCTAGATCATGATCTCCAGTACATGTATTCTAGCAGAGTTCTCCAATAGACTAACCCGGGCTAGTCCACACTCTGGTCTCTGTTTTCCAGATCCATCAAAAATTGCAGGTGTTTCTCTATGGCAGGACTCTGATAAACCTAGTGGCTGCAGCTTTCTTTGTTGGAACTGACAGTCCTAAAACCACTGTAATGAACACTGCAGAAAAATAGACTTGATCAACAAATAATGAACTAGTACATTTGTTTGCCACCAGATGAAAGGTGAATTATTCAAGTCAGTGTCACATGATTTACAATACTAAAGACAACCAGAGGAACAGGCCTCAGGTTAATCCCTGCATTCACCACCTACCTGTTAATATGTTCTATGCAATATGCACTTAAACCATGTAGTAGTGGGACACAGTAAAACACAAAATACCAGGAAAAGAAGTCTCAGAGCAGCTCATGGTTTAGCACCTTTTGAAGAGGCACCAACTTATCAAAATACTAAGATGCAGATAGTTCTACTGGGACTAGTGAGATTTTTTCACAAGACTAGGAGACTAAGGAATTCACTTTCAGAGCTTAAAAAACCCTTACCCAAAATCAAGAAGTTTTGAAAGTTCACATTTAAATGATTTGCTCGTGAACTAAGTATGGAGGGATAGTTGGGGAATAGGGGGCTCCCTTTTAGGTCCATGGAAAATTTCCCTATTTAATAAATAAACTTAAAAAAAATAGAGGTATTTCCTACTTTTCAAATGTCAGTACAGCATCATGTTGCTAGTCTCGCAGATGCCCTGGAAATTAATCTAAAACCTAACTAAAAATCTCTATTTCTACAGGCAAAATAGGTAAACAGATAATAAACACAGGTAAGTCTCTGTTGTGACAGTATCATCCATCATTATAAAATTGGCAGTGTTTACTCTAGTAAACAAAATCTATTTTTGTAATTTGCAAAGTGTTTTTAGTTCCACATAGTTTCCCTCCATTCACCCAGACTTTCACATACACTGAATTTATGAATGATGAACCTCCCTTTTCAGTTCTGTTGTCTGCTTTGCACTGAATCATAGGAATTTCAATTGTTAAGAATGATTTAAATTTGAGAAATCATGGTTAATTAAGAACCTTTAGAACAGTCTTGCTCAAAACCTCTTGAAGAACAACAGTCATCTTGGAAATTCTCTTGCTAAAAAAATGTAATGACTAACACTATAACTCTTTTCCTTCTAAGCAACTAACAGTGACTAATACTCATTAACCAGTGCACAAAGGTACTGAATGTTTGTTGCAAAAGTGAAAACTAGGTGAAAATGCTTTGTTATAAACTGATACCTACACTGAGAGTGTAAATCTCAAATGCTTTCAGCAACAAAGAATTTAAACCTAAAAAGCACATAAAAAAACAGAAGGTTTCTTGGATAACTTTCCCCTAACAGGAGATTTAAGATGGTATAAAAGTGTTTCTCATTATAGTGAAACCAGCTGCTCAGGAAGAAAGATGCAATAGGATTTGGAAGATGAAAGCACACATTTTAGCCTTTTAAGGGGGCAATATCTTTCACATTTTAGGGTCACTTACCTCACTCGGGGGAAGTGGAGGTGTCTACAGAGGTGGAAGATGTGATGCTAATATACCTTTGTTGATAATAAAGGCCCGCTGTTCAGTAAGCTTTTATTGACAGTCTCAACATAAATAGAAAGACATAAGCTCAAAATGAGAATTAGCAAGTAATTTGAGTGACAAAGTAGATCAATATAGAATTGCTAATTCTCTTAGTTTATTCTCCTTTAAGGCTGATTTATTGATAAGTAAAATTAAATTTTCTACATAAGAATATTTCGTGATTCGTTCAAAACGAATGTCATAGGTATAAATCAGAGCGTGTCTGCAAAGTTCCAAATA